TCTCCTAACTGTGATATTTTCAGAAATAGAAGTCGCGTTTTTTCATCTGAAACGTGCTGCGATTTATTTTCTAAAGCCACTCATATAATGCAGAAACGCTCATGAAGCATGCAGGTATTTGTACTGATGCAGAATAGTACAGCCTAGCGCATTTCATACAGGCTGCTAGATTCACTTTCGCCCATTAAGTCGTGTATGCCTAAGGTTGAAAATAAATGATGTTTATAGTGAATGCCCCTATGAATGGTTTTATTTTTACGATTTCGTTTTAATTCAAATGATGCGTGTGCTTAGTGAGTGAACATCAAAGATCACACAACAGAAGTGCGCGCTCTCTCTCTCTCTCTCTCTCCCTACCGTTAAGTAACTTGTGCATTGTTTTACTTACTTGTTTTTGACATATCCTACCGAACTACAAACTTTCCAGTGATGTCTGTGAGAAAGATATATTCACTCGACAAGCTCGCGCATCTGCGCCGCCGCGCGCTCAATCCACTCAGCGTGCTTTGTTTATCAGCTCGCGCACAACAGCTATACAGGCGTTAATACTGAATGTTTAACGTTATATTCATTGCATACATATACTTCGTAGTAGACATCCTTAACTCCTTTCTGCTCTCTGTTGTTCTGTTGTTGGTGTTTCTTTGTTTGAATATGGTGCTTATCACATGTTGTGTGGTATCGGCGTTTGGTATCGGGGCATTTTAACGAGTACGAGTACAGGAGCTCAGTATCGGGCCCGATACCGATACCAGTATCGGTATCGGTGCATCCCTACCTTTAATGCATAACACTTGCTCTCCATTTTGTTGAATCAGTTCTAAAAGCTTCCTTTATTTGTGATATTTTTTGTAAAATGATGTTGTTGTTGTTGTTTTTCCTCAGTGTTTTGTATTGTTTTATGCAATGGAGGACTAAAATAACTAGGGAAAAACTGCAAAAACTGCACAAAAAAAAACCTACAGGGATATCATATCAGCAATAATATCTTTTAATATGATGTGTCCTTATCCACATTGAACATTTCCATGTGATCACCAGCCATCTTTACTAATGTGTGTACCGTACCCTCTCTCTCTGTCTCTCTGTGCTCCTCGTTTCCTCTCTTTCACCCTTCACCTCTGACCTCTGACCGCTGAAGACTCCAGCAGCTGCTGAGTGACAAGCGAGAGGAGGATGAGGAGGAAGAGGTGGAGGAAGACAGGTTTGTCCCTGTGTCTCTCTTTCCCCTCGCTGCCCTCTATAATTACCCATAACCCCCTGTGTTTCATCGCTGCTCGTAATCTTTAAATTCTGGTTGTCTCTCAGCAGGTAGTTTCCAGTCTTGGAGAACAGCCCACAAAATGTTTATACTTCATTTGTGTACTTTGATTTCTTTTGATTTATTATTTTTTTTTTTTTTCAAATACACCTTAAAGCAGTGGGTGAATCTCACAAAATCTTGTAAGAACTTGTCTGGGTGACATTTCACCAACACATATTTCACCAAACAAGGTTTACTTGTAATTCTCTTACCATAAACACTGGACATTTATTTTTTTATGATGATTTTTCGTTCTTTCTCTGCTGCTGTACTTTGATGACTGTATGTAAATGACCTCTGTTATGATTGACTATCCTCTGATGCAGGGTTAATTTAGTATTATTTATATAATGGTATAGCAATCATTAATGATTTTGAGTTAGATTTAATTTTTATATTTTCAGTTTTCATTTTACTTTTAGTTTTAGAAATGTTGTTTTAATGTGCTTTTCTCATTTTTATCAGTTTTTATCAATTTTGTTTTATTAATCGTAGTCATAGTTATTATATTAGTATTAAATTGTAGTATTCAGTATTAATAATTTTAGCACATCAACTTAAACGTATTATATTTCAGTTAGTTGCCAAGGCAACATTTCAATTTCTATTTTTTTAATGCTTTTAATAAATGGTGTAAGTAAACTAGAGAGGAAGATTTGGTTACATTTTATTTTAAGGTCCAGTTCTCGCTATTAACAAACCATTAACTGCAGCATTTGCCTCAATAAACTCCTAATTTGCTGCTTATTAATAGGTAAGGTAGTTGTTAAGTTTAGGTATTGGGAAGGATTATGGATGTAGAATATGGTCATGCAGAATATGTGCTTTATAAGCACTAATAAACAGCTAATGTGTTAATAATAGGCATGCAAATAAGCAACTGAGAATTGATTAATTGATTAACTTTTGAATGTTACCATTTAACTTTTCTGTTGCATCATGTGTTTCTGTCATAATACCATCTTTCCTTCCCTCCTAATTTTCTGTTTTGTTTCAGACAATCTATGCTGCTTATAAAAAAAGCATATGTTGAAAAACATTACAAAACAGATTTTAATTCCTAGTTTTGATTTCCCCCTGCAGTGCCAACAGAGATGAAACACATGACGGCGAACAGAAGATTAGCGAGAGAGAGCGGTTAGAATCCACCAATCAAGAGCCAGAGATGGTATGATTGACAGCCCGCTTGCCCTATCAGAACACATTTTAAAGGCGGAGCTCATCATTCAGTCTTTGACATGAAATGGTTTCCCTCAGGAGGCCAGTGACCGTGAGGAGGGGGATGGAGAGGAAGACGAGGAGGAAGTTGAGGAAGAGGAAATGGATGCAGAGGAGAGCTCAGATGAGTCTGACTCTGACCTGGATGAGCAGGGTACTGATGTTTACTGTGAAATAATAACTTTACCTCAATATGATTTATAAAATGACTGCTTTTTAGAGATTTATACTAGTACGAAAGCTATATGATAATATAAAACATGATTTTAGTAAGCCAGATCTATTTATTTTTAATTAAAGAAGTACAAGAGTTTTGCTATTTTGTAAATATACAATATAGCACATAACATATGTGACCTTGGAGCACAAAACCAGTCATAAGGGTCAATTTTTCAAACATTGAGATTTATACATCATCTGAAAGCTGAATAAATAATCTTTCCATTGATGTATGGTTTGTTAGGATAGGACAATATTTGGCCGAGATGCAACTATTTGAAAATCTGGGATCTGAGGGTGCAAAAAAATCTAAATATTGAGAAAATCATCTTTAAAGTTGTCCAAATGAAGTTCTTAGCAATGCATATTACTAATCAAAAATTAAGTTGTGATATATTTACAGTAGGAAATTTACAAAATATCTTCATGGAACATAATCTTTACTTAATATCCTAATGATTTTTGGCATAAAAGTAAAAAAAAAAAAAAATTTAAAATAATTTTGACCCATACAATGTATTTTTGGCTATTGCTACAAATATACCCCAGCGACTTGAGACTGCTTTTGTGCTCCAGGGTCACATATAGTTCTGCTTTTTTAAACCAATTTCAATTTTAAAATGTTGCCTGTTTTAATGCCCGTCTTTTTGTAAACATAAGTGTTTGTATTGTTTTTGCATTGATTAGAGGACTTCCAGGCAGATCTGGCCAACATCACGTGTGAGATCGCCATCAAGCAGAAGCTGATCGATGAGCTTGAGAACAGTCAGAGACGTCTGCACACGCTCAAACAACAGTATGAGCAGAAACTCATGATGCTGCAGAGCAAAATCAGAGACACGCAGCTGGAGCGAGACCGTGTGCTGCACAACATGGGTAAGGACACATATACCACCGCTACGCCGTGATGCACGATGCTGGGGTCAAATTAATATAAACGTAACATGCCAGCAACAGCCCATTTTAGTTTTCATGTTTGCCATATGTTTAACCAGAAGAAAAGTGTAGGTTTTTATTTGTATCCATCAGGAATAGATTGAGTTTTAAAAAGTGGGCACTGCTACCAGAATGCAGCCTGGTAATTTGGGGGAGGGGTTAAAAATAAGTATTTTTTTGACTTAGTTATTGAAGTTTAAAGAGAGATTATTAAAGTGTTTCTTTGGGCATGCAGTAATTAATCATTCACAATGAGGCCAGAAACATTCATAAATAGCGTAAATTTCATGATAACTTGAATGTGATAAGACGAAATAAGTTATTAAATTAATTTCGGAGCCATGGCTTCTAACACACATTCAGTGCTCCTAGCGTGTAGATCATGTTTGCGTCAGGACTGATAAAAGCTAAAGAAATTCTGTTTTGTTTCTTGTTTTTGTTTATTTGCTTGTTTTATATTGTTTTTTATGTTATGGTTTGTTTTTGTTGTGTTATGTTTCGTGTTTTTTGTTTTGTTTTGTTCTGTGTTGTTTCATGTTTTGTCTTGTCTTGTGTTTTGTGGGGTTTTTTGTTTTGTTTTGTTCTGTGTTGTTTCATGTTTTGTCTTGTCTTGTGTTTTGTGGGGTTTTTTGTTTTGTTTTGTTCTGTGTTGTTTCATGTTTTGTCTTGTCTTGTTGTGTTTTGTGGGGGTTTTTGTTTTGTTTTGTTCTGTGTTGTTTCATGTTTTGTCTTGTCTTGTTGTGTTTTGTGGGGGTTTTTGTTTTGTTTTGTTCTGTGTTGTTTCATGTTTTGTCTTGTCTTGTTGTGTTTTGTGGGGGTTTTTGTTTTGTTTTGTTCTGTGTTGTTTCATGTTTTGTCTTGTCTTGTTGTGTTTTGTGGGGCTTTTTGTTTGTTTTGTTTTGTATTGTTTTTTATGTTATGTTTTGTTGTATTTTGTTTTGTGGGGGGTTGTTTATTTTGTTTTGTTGCGGTATGTTTGTTTTGTGTTGTTTTAGGCTCTGTGGAGTCATGCTCTGAGGACAAGACCAAACGGATAAAAGCAGAGTATGAGAAGAAACTCAGCGTCATGAACAAAGAGCTCCAGAAACTACAGGCGGCTCAGAAGGAACACGCTCGTCTACTGAAGAACCAGTCACAGTACGAGAAGCAACTGAAGAAACTACAGCTGGATCTGGCGGATATGAAGAAAACCAAAGTGAGAGTCAACATGGAGACATGGCTGTGCACTGAATCACTGAAACATGCTGAATCACCGTTACAACATAAAATATTTGATTATCAACAGCGCCTCCTAGTGGTCCACAGACGCAGCACCCCCTACACCAACATACTGCAGAGATCATTGAAGAATTGGCTCCTTTTCTCAAAATCTGCACTAAATTGTTTGACATCCAAAATTATATCATTGTGTTATAAGCACACAAGTGTACTACTAATCAACATCTTTTAGAAAAATCAATAGTTCAAATTCATTTAAATTTATATTGTAGTATATTATTTTTATAAATTGGCAATTCCAGATATAATATCAGTATCAGAATTATTACCCTTCATGAAAATGCATGAATATATATATATATATAATGTATATATGTGTGTGTAAAAAAATATTACATGAGAAAAGTTAAGATAATTCTAAGACTTGAACTATAACATTAATAGAATTTCATACTACTTTACTATTCTCCTTATGTGTTATATAAGTAGTATGATAGCTATTGCAAACAAGTCCACACTCTGATCTAATGAATGTGTATGGCCTGAATCCTACAGCTAATCCAGTACTGAAATGAGCTGACTGTTGCTATGGTGGCTGTTGCCAGGTGCGTCTGATGAAGCAGATGAAGGAGCAGCAGGAGAAGAGCAGGATGGCCGAATCCCGCAGGAACCGAGAGATCGCCACACTTAAGAAGGACCAGCGCAAACAAGAGGTGCATGATGGGAGAATAACACTAATGCAGCATGAAAGAGCTAACTGACAGTGAAATACATTGTGTGCTGTGTGTTTTTCTCTTGTACAGCATCAGCTAAAACTGCTTGAAGCTCAAAAGAGACAACAGGAACTTATACTGCGCAGGAAGACTGAGGAGGTGAAATATTCCCCTCAATTTTGCCTCTACTGCACCTCCAAAGTGTGACTCATTGATATGTTTTTAATTACGCAATAATATTTATTAATTTAAAATATATTATTAAGGTTATGCATTTCATTTTTTAAACATGCATATACCCTGAAAATAAAAATCACTTGCTTTGATATTGTTGTTATATAATGCACTTAAGCACTTATAATATAATATAATTCATCTGTATTTCAGTTACCAAAAACTATTTTTATTATATTATATTATATTATGTTGCACTTAAGTATAATATAATTCATCTGTATTTCAGTTACCAAAAACTATTTTTATTATATTATATTATATATATTATATTAAATAAAAAAGTAACTGAAATAAAATAAGTTAGTTGAAGTACTACAATTACTAAAACTGAAAAAAAATTAATAATAATAATTTTAATTTAAAAAGCACATAACTAAATTACTAAAACTTAAACTAAAGCTGAAAATATTAAAATAAAAGCTAATGATTTAATGTTATAATATTATATAAATAATACTAAAACTACACTGATGCACCTATACACTATGCGTTGGCAACTAACTGAAAAAAAAAAAGTATAAATGTAAGTATAATATAAAGCTACATTAAATTAAAATGACTAAAATGATCATTAA